GTCACCAACCTGGATTTAGTTAAGAAAATAGGTAGGAGACTTCTAATGGATAAGTGTTATGCTCTAGGGATGCTTCAGTTGGTTAGGTTTAGGTTAGCAACGTTATGTCCCCCAAAAATGAGGTCATCTGCCTACCTGAATATACTCATGGAATGGGCATATTCCAAGATTCATCAGGCTACAATTGTGAGACTGGTTCAGGTGGTTCAGGTAGCATAAGACATAATTTTCACACATTGATTGGCCACCACAGAGTCTAGACCTTAACCCCATTGAGAATCTTTGGGATGTGCTGTAAAAGACATTGCACAGTGGTCCAATTCTCCCACAAGCACTACAAGATCTTGGTGAAAAATAATGCAACTCTGGATGGAAATAAATGTTGTGACATTGCATATGCTTATCCAAACAGAAAAGATGCCATGGTGAATTAGTGCATAATTTAAGCGAAAGGCAGTCCAACAAAATATTTTTTTGCCAGGCAGTGTATGTCTCAATGGATTCAGTTTTGTTGGGTTGACGGTTTATCAGGGCACCACACCCCTTATTATAACATTAGACAAAATTTCACTACGACTTTATGAGTTGGCGCCTAAAACCCCCTAGTTGTTGTGGCATTTTGTCTAATATCTCTCAATGGTTCATAATGACACCCTACACACTTACTATTTCAACACTATTGGATAGTAACACAGATAGCATAATTCCAGGATTCCGGCACCATATATCTATTCCCCCAAGCAAATACGATCTAACTCTTCCCGACCCTATCCAAAACAAAATGAAACATTTGGTTGGAGTAGGACTTTAGTCGCTTTCACTACTGTTCTACTCAGCCCTCCTCAACACAGAAGTAAACAAGACTCCTTTCTTTTAAACTAACACTTCCTCAATTCACTTTAATTCTAGACTTCTATATGCAAAACATAATCCTCCAAAGTTAAAAAAAAAAAAAGTTTTTGTTTTTGTATTATAGAGCAAGCATTATGTGAAAAGTAACAACTTCCTCTCTTGAACTGGCTGCACAATGCATAGAACAGGGATTTTAAATTTGGTTTAGATCATTTTCTATTAAAGGGTCAGTCCACCCAAAAAGTATATACATACACTATATTGCCAAAAGTATTGGGACGCCGGCCTTTGCACGCACATGAACTTTAATGACATCCCAGTCTTAGTCCGTAGGGTTCAATATTGAGTTGGCCCACCCTTTGCAGCTACAACAGCTTCAACTCTTCTGGGAAGGCCATCCACAAGGTTTAGGAGTGTGTCTATGGGAATTTTTGACCATTCTTCCAGAAGTGTATTTGTGAGGTCAGATACTGATGTTGATAGATGAAAGTAGTCACTCGCACTCCATGATATTAAAGTCAATGCTGTTTATTGACTGAGATAACACACATCTCCTTAGCGACGTTTTGAGACCATGTGGCCCCGTCCTCAGGCAAACAGAGAGTGAGTAAAGCAACAAAATCAAACAATAAATACAGGTGAAACAAAATCAAACCACCAATCACAATGCAGTTAATACCTCCTCCTCTGACGTCCTAACGACATGATTCACACCATACTAAAACAGCATTGACTTTAATATCATGGAGTGAGGGTAGAAGAAGATAAAGGACATACTAAGTATATGAAAAGATGGGAACAAGAAATGAGGAGGGAGCTATCCGATAGCGAGTGGGGAAGAATATTTGACATAACACATAGATCTGTTACATCTTCTTTCCACCAAGAAAAAAACTATAAAATTATATCCAGATGGTATAGGTGCCCAGAAGGTATTAGACGTATAAACTCAGATTTAACAGATAGATGCTGGAGATGCATTCGGGAGGAAGGGACATACTTGCATATCTGGTGGAGTTGTCCTAGATTCAACCCTTTTGGGAATCTTTATTTGGAATATTTAATGCCATAGAGACACAAAGTTAAGACAAAGATCCCTTTATGGCTATAATGTCACTAATACCGGGATCCCTAAAAAAGATAAAAAGCGAAATCTTAAGATTCGTATTGGTGGCAGCCAGGGTTTGCATATCGCAGAGTTGGAAGTCAATGGTACCACCCTCATTAGAGAACTTGGTTAGCACAATGGAGGAGATAAGATATATGGAGGAGCTAAGTGCAAAGGACTAAAGACAAAAAGGAGATTTTCCTTAAGATTTGGGGAAATTGGGAAAACTATATACAGACAGAGGAATTTAGGAAGACATTGGCAGAAGGATAGAGTAAAGAGAAGGAGTTTAAAAGGAGAACTATGAGGTGAGTGCTTTTCACTCACCTCATAGTTCTAGCCGACCTGTGACAATGAGACTGTCAGCTCAGTAGATCGGGAGGTGAGCGAACACATGCCGGCGTTCTCTCACCTCTCGATCCTGTCACGGCAGGGGAGGGACTGGATTCCCCCCTCCCCGCTCCGCCAGCGCTGACTGGCAGAGGGGGCGGGGGCGGGTACAGCTGGCTCTGCCTCTAGATAGGCAGAGCCAGCTGTCAGTCACGCAGCTGGGCGGATCCAGACATAATTGTCGGGATCCGCTTCAGCTGCGGCGTCTTAGTATACCGCAAGCAGCAGCTCGCGCTATACTGCATAAACACACACACACACGCACACAGATATGCACATGTGTTTATGTGTATCTTTGGGATGTGTATGTGTGCACACGGGTGTACATTTTTATTCTTTTTATTCTTTTTATTCCTTTCATCCCCATTTTTGTAATTTATTTTTCTTTTTTACTATATATTTTTAGAGTTCCCAATAAAGATAATTTTAATATAGGCATTTCCCACATGTTAGCCCTCCAACCAAGGTCCTGTTTTCACCAAAATACCATTCTACTCAACCACCTAACAGTTTTTTATCCCAACACGACCTCCAGTACTTTTTATTACCCAATGGCTTCCCTCGTCCCTATCTAACACCACCAACTCCTTCCCACCGCCCCTTTCCTTACACATCTGTTTCTTATGGCTTTTATGCATATCAAGCTACTAAATATATGCCCGTTCCCAACCACTCCGCTCTCAATTTTAAACCGCGGGATCACCGCTCACCACCGCTAGCTCCGCCCATCTGTCACTTTTTAAACCCGGACTATTCCCGCCATCATCTCACTGTTTTACCTGAGCTTGAAAAAGAGGCAAGACCTCGAAACGCGTCGCTCTCGTCCGCTCTTGGATCCCCCTCCACTCCACCATCAACTCGAGCCCCGGCGTCTGACTGTCCCCAGCAGACCCGACAGAGACGGCTCGTTGACACACGCGGCCACGGCTGCCACAGCCCTATCCAACACCCGGTTCCTGTCTGAATGATCCCTCTCCAACACGTCATTGGATTCGACTTGCGTCTTCTGCCAGCTGCTTCTGCACATGGTCCCCAGCAGATCTGACAGTTACCGCTCGCTGAGACACACACAGCTGCGGCTGTTACAGCCCCGTCCATTGCCCGCTGCCTATTGCCGATAACACAGCGATCCCCCTGCCTCTCTCCCACACCGCACAGACCCCTCACGGCACTTCAGACGAAGTCCCCTCTTCTCATCTACACTCTCCCGTGGATATACCTCTTGGATTAATACATCGATCACAGTCGGACACCACACCACGAGTGCCCTGATCCTCCATACTGGCCGTCCATCTCCAGATCCTGGCATTCACACGTAAGTGCCACCACCTTCAGTTTTTCATCACTACTTTGTTAACTAGCCAGTGTTCTCTGCGCCCTTTCTTGGTTTTTTGAATATTAACAGTTGGCGATTGATGAGCATACTGGACCGTATAAGAAAGGAATCAAATATTAGACTGACAGTCCTGGTGCCGGATGAATGACATGAATGAGTGAGTCTGGAACCTGTACTGTCATCTGAGGTTCCAACTCCAACAGTCTACATAACTTCCACTAGTTCAGAGCCCTGAAAAAGGGGACCGACATACCCCTGATATGTTGGCTGTGATCCAATATGTTACCAGTAAAGAAATTAAGCATATGCACACATCAGGGGCTCATAGTAAATACCTCAGAACTTGGGGGGGGGCTTGAGAGAAGTACTGAGCCACACCCCAGCCATGATCTGCCTTGCATATCATAGCAAAGCACAAATACTCAGCCAATATATCTCTAGGTCTAAAATAGAGCAATGTACAGCAATGGAAACGTGTTCTTTTTAAGTGTCATTTGCATGTTAATTAGGGGGAAAAGGAGGTACCGGGGAGGGTAAAATATAAACATATCAAACATCAAAAGTCCACACTCTCCCCTTGGATCATCAAATCGATTCTGAATTATTATACATCCATTTCCTACAAATCACTAGTACAGATTTCAGTAAGAAACATCTTTTATTTCACATGATAAACAGATTCCACTGGCAAAAATGTTGCATTACCAACCCCACAGGATTTCAGATAACCCCGTCTATCGACACTGTATGACAAGTGTAAGCAACCTCCGGTACTCCAGCTTTTTTTTTAAGCTACAAATCCCATGTATCTACCTCTGGGAGTGATGCCTGTGGCTGCCAGTACTGCAATGCCTCATGGGATTTGTAGTTCCACAACAGCTGGAGAGCCGAGGTTGCCTACCCCGCTGTATGACATAGAATAGCAGTGCTAGGGCTCATTCACATGAGCATGCACACCCGTGCAAAGACCTGCTCCCAGGAGGGACAGGTGCTCCATGTAGCTGCCTGTACCTTCCTATGAGAGGATGCGCTGCACGCAGTTACATAATAACCCAGAACCTGCACATCCTTACAGGTCCGGATGCTTGTACTTTGGCGCAGTGTGTGGATGTGCAAGTTCTGGTCGGCGTGTAGCTGCATCGTCCCATGGGGAGGAACAGGCAGCTGTACACAACTACACACAGCACCCGTCCTTCCCGGGAGCAGATCTCTGCACAAACGCACGCTGTACAGATGTGCATGCCCGTATGAATGATTCCTTATAGTTGAAGGTCCACTGTTACATGGCCAGTACAGAATTAAAGCCCCTCAACAGCATTGTATTGTGGTGGGCCTCTGTAACGTACATGCGTTACATCACCACACCGCAGCGGACAGCTGTGGAGCCAGCCTGAAGATGAAACATAACGCAGAATCAGAAGATGAAATACAGTCTTGTGTCGAAATTCAAGAAACAGAATGCAAGTCCTAGCACCCCGGCCAGGGGTCCTCTCGAGTCTTCCGTGACAGGAACGCTATTTTTCGGTTCATTTCAGAGTTGTAGATGCGTTTACAGGTCTCATATTTGATCCTCCTTCTCTGGATGCACGGCTTCTCGTAATAACGTCCCCTCCTGGCTTTATCTACAATCCCTTCCGTGGTGAGGATTCTATACAGGGAACCAGACAGAAAGATTAGTGAAGAGCACGGTGAGGCAAGCTAGGCACTCCAGCTGTGGTGGAACAACAAGTCCCATAAGCCATTGCCAGACTGACAGCCACAAGCACGACTCCCAGAGGCAAAGAGCAGGATGGGATTTGTAGCTTCACCACAGCTGGAGTGCCAAAGTTGCCTAACCCTGGTGTAGAACACTTTACAAACATCTGCACCTGTAAGTCAATATTAAGCAGGGGGCGTGATTTATAAAGCATTTGCACAGCAAATAGCTGTGCGAACATTGTTCTCAGCTCATGACTGCCACTAGATGGAGCCTAAGAGCATATTGTCCTACAGTGCTGTCCTGCCATCAACGTTCTATCCCACGCCTAACAACCATATCCATCTAGAAGTTTTTAAACTTACTTATTGAAGATGCCCCTGTACCAGGGTGGACAAATCCGGCCCTCCAGCTGTTGTTCAACTGCAGAGGTCACACACTGTATCATCCATATTGTCCAGGGCAGATAGGGAGGGCATTCCACCCCGTGAGCTCTTCTGACACATTTCAACCCTCCACTTGCATCAGAGTCATTGCAATGTAGGTGATCCCACATAATCATGTATTTAAGTAGAACTAAAGTTTTTTTTGTTTTGGAGCGGAGAGAGATTAGACCGTCAGGTACACGTCAGAAATCATGGGACGGAGTGCCCTTTTCGGCTTGCCCCATGCTATAAAGCTTGTGAAGAACGATATGGATCATGTAGTGTGTGACCCCTTGCCTAAACTTCACCAGATCAAGTAACACTGGTCTTCAGCAGGAAGCGCTCTTTACTAGACCATTCACTTCCTACCTCAAACACCCCCATTGAAGTCTATGGGGCCAAAACACACAGTAAAGTTCATGTGCTTTTTTTGAGCTACAGGTGACGCAGCAGTCAGGGGGCGTCTGACGTCACTTCCCGTCCGACTTTCCACCCGGTCCGCCGACGTCACTTCCTGTGCGCCTCCACCCCATGAGGTGTACACCTCTGGACCTCGCTCTCGGCCCGCTTTAGCGGCTCGGCTCTCGGCCGTGCTTGCGGCTCGGATCCCGCACGGTTCCGCTCTGTCTGGACATGCTATCCAGCAGACAGGTAAGCGGCTCGGTTGGGTAGTGGGGGAAGATGGTGAGGGGTACCTTCTGAAGAGAGAGGGGTCCCGCAGACATGCACCACTGAGTCATGGTGAGGGCAGCTGTACCTGGCAAGCTGGGGAAAAAAACTCAGCTGGAGCCGACACAGCTGGAGGATGGTTGCTGCTCTTGAAAGAGGGGAACCTGTAGGACCACTTCACCCCAATGGGTAGGACAGGGTGGGGACTGCCCTGGGAAGCAGCTCCGTTATCCCCGAGACCACTGGCCCCAAAGGAGGGCATACCTGATGCAGTAGGCCCCTGCCGCATGCACGCAGGCTTATACAGAAAACAAAAAAAACATCCCGATGCACCCGTTTTAGGCCGAGGAAGCACAAGTAACTGAGGCATGCCAGCACCAGGCGCCTTTTTTATTTGGTGTGTATGATGTGTTTCGTGTTTCAGGTGGGAGGAGACTATTTCTCAGATGCTGTCCTGGAAGATTACTTGGGAAAATGGGATTACTCTTGTTGAGTACTGACGCGCTTCAGGAAACACACAAGGCTCCAGTGTCAACAGGCAGCACTGAGAATATTGAGATTCTTCTTATTGAGTATTGACACACTCCAGGAAACACACAACGCTGAGGAGTAAATGGGCACTATTGAGATTCTTTTGGTTGAGTATTGACACACTATCGGAAACACAAAGCTCATGGGTTAACCAACACCATTGGGAATATTGGAATTCTTCTGGTTGAGTATTGAAACACTATGGGAAACACAACGCTCATGGGATAACTAACATCATTGGGAATATTGGAATTCTTATTGTTGAGTAGTGACACGCTTCAGGAAACACACAATACCATTCATGGGGTGAACGAGCACCATTGAGAATATTGGGATTCTTCACGTTGAGCATTGACACGCTTCAGGAAAAACACAAAGAGGTGATTGGCGCCATTGGAAATATCGGCATGGTTTGCATTGAGCGTCTTCGCACTTCTGGAAACGTGCTACAAGATGCCCAGGTGTGAAGCAACATATGAAGGACAAAGCTTAAATCTAATAAAGCCGGGCTCTGCGACAACGTGCTTCCTTCACTCCCTGGGCGAGAATAGCCGCCATCACCACCACACCATTTAGCACCCGCTGCCCCAGCATCCTCCTATATAAGTATATACTACTGGCTTCACCCCACATATCTCATGGCTCTTCACACTGCCACAAATCATATTAGGGGCCCCAGGGTGAATACTTTCACCCTACATTCACTCCTGTTGGATGATTTCTCCTATAAGTTGAACAAAACCTGCCGCTACAAAGCAAATGAACACTTGCCTGTTCAGCGTGTTGTAAGCCGCGTCCACATTTCCATTCTGCACCATCACCGTGCGGGCAATAAATCTTAGATGGTTCGCCATGGCGTGAACCTAGGGATAAAAGGGGACATGTGACTACCGGTGCACTGTGGGGACATAACCTTTGCAGTGGGGAAGAGTGAAGGTTTTAAGTACTTGTATTGCCCAGAGGTGGCGAAGAAAAGAGGAGAAGAATAAGATATACTTACCTTGTTCCTCGCCTTCTTGGAAGTTGGTGATCCCTCAAATTGTGGGCGGGCCCTCGGCGTCCTAACGTGCAATGCAGCACTGACGTCACAGAGCTGCAACCGGTCAAACGAAAGGCAGGAAGATGCTTCAGGGGACCGGTTGCACAAAGGAGGAGGAATAACTTATTTAAATCAGCTTATTCATCATCGCCTCGGCCCTCCATATATTATGAAACTACAAGTCCCATAAGGCATTGTAAGACTGACATCCAGAAGCATGACTCCCAGAGACATGATAGGATTGTAGTTTCACAACTGCTACAGGGCCAATGTTTGGCTATCCATGGTATAGAACAGGGCTAGGCAAAGTCCAGCCCCCCAGCTGTGATGAAAATACAAATCCCATCATGCCACTGGGCTGCCAGAGTCTTGCAATGCCTCATGGGACTCGTAGTTTCACAACAGCTGGAGGGCCAACGTTTGGCTACCTCTGCCATAGGAAAACTGAGCAGTTAACCCTTGCAGGGGGACCCGCTGCAGAGTAATGCTGCAGTCACAGCCGTATGAAGCACTTTGGCCATCACGCAACAATGTATACCGAGTGGAACACCGTTATTATTATTATTATATATGGGGCCAGGTCACACATTTGCAATGCGCTTCTGTGTGACTTGCGGTGCATGCCCTTTTTTTTGTTTATCCCCATAGAGTTAAATAGAAGTGCATGAAAAGCACACCTAACATGTATTTTCTGTATTTTCATGCATTTTAGATCATGACAACAAGACCCACCCCCTAGCAACCTACACTTTTGTTCACCTTCACTGGCCATGAGAAAATATGTGTTCTAAAATCACTACCTGGCTGTGGTCATGGGCATCCAGTGGCTTCAGCTGGATTGCAGTAAGCATGTAGCCAGTAAAGACAAGATTCTTGACCTGCATACTAGTTCTAGATAAACAAGCAGTGGAGAAGCCCAGAGACGTGCAGGAAGGCCAGTCTGCAGGCACTCTATGAATAAATGGGGGTCAGCAATGTCTGCTGCCATTTCAGTCATTGCAATTCAGACCAGACCAACATGACCCCCGCCATCAACCTAACCTGCTGAACTTGTATCCAGCATGACTTGCCAGTCAGGCCAACATGACTACCCACCCTTTCAACCTAACCTGCTGGACTTGTATCCATGACTTCCCAGCATGCTTTACAATGCTTCATACATGTGTCATTAGCTCCACTAAAAATGAACGTGCTAATCTCTTGCCATGCTGATGCTCCGCAGTCTACATCAGATTACAAATATAACATATATGACGTTTAATAGGCAACTCGGGCTCACCGAGTCTCACCTGAATCCACAAACCAGAACTCTGCCGTTCAAGGTTATACGGAGCTACCCCGCATCTTCCAAATGCAGACAGCTGTCACGTGACCCCTCCCCGCACAGCCTGCTGGGAAAGCTGAATCAGCGCAAAGCCATTTGGGAGGTGTAGTTTTACGACTTCTCGTGTAGGCGCGCGTATCCAAATCTCCACCCCACCATGAATACTAGCCACGACCATTTTTACTCTCTCAGTGCGCCTTACTTCTTACTAATCAGTGGCCGGGTGTTTCTTTTTAATAGCAAAGCCTACTGTCTTGCCGCTGCATATCCACGCCTCTCAGATTTTAATGGCATCATTTAGTGGTGCTGATCGTGTGTAGCGGGGGGCGGGGTTTTGCGTGCCATATTATATAGATAGAGCAGGGTAGGCGACGTCAGCACGGAAGCTGTTGTAAAACTACAAATACAATCCAGGGCATTGCAAGACCCTGCTAGCTGGATGCAAAGGCATATGGGGACTTGTAGTTTCAGCACAGCTGTCACAGCAAGCTCTGCGCAAATTGTTGGAGCTATATAAATCCTGTATAATAATATAAAATCAGAGGGATAATATCAATAAATCTAACCCGTTTTTAAAAGGAGCGGGAGTCCGTCACAATCTTACGTTGCCCTAGCAACCATTTATGCATCGTTGACCACATTTAGCTGCTGGTCGGGGAGCGATTCTCCAGTCAGGAACTAATCATAAACTAAGGGGCCGGGAAAGCTGGCTGACATGACCCCTTTGTTTACATTCAGCTGTCAGTCAGGGAATATTCAGCAGGCAGCTGAATGTAGCAGGGGATTAGACACTGGTTGCTATGTCCCTTTTGTCTACACATCTGACAGCCTCTTAGCAACCCATGGCTGAGTGGGCGGAGCCTGATGGGGAAGCTGACGCACTAGTTCCCCATCAGGTCTTCCTCCCTTGTAACTGACAGCAGGCAGTGGGTGGATTCAATAGCCAGCCTGCTATTGGCTTTGGAACCTGCCCACTGTCTGCTGTCAATCAGCAGCAGAGCGAACTTGATGGGAAACTAGTCCCTCAGCATCCCCATCACGCTCTGTCCACTTGTAGCGGCACTAGTTAAGGACACTGATGTTACCGACTGTTGCCGTGCGTCGTAGACACTCTTTATGAATTCCACTGGTTGGGTTTTAGGGCTTGTTCACACCAAAAGCGTGTGCGTTCCAGAGCGGTAGCTGCTGGAACGCACCGCGATCGCTAAGAAACTTCCCCCCGCATTCTGGGGAGGGAGGGGCGTGGCGCTGCATTGAATTCAATGGCAAATAGAATAGTATAGATGCCCTATTTTTTGCGTTTGCAGTGAAACGGAACGCTGGTATAGTTTTGCCACGCGTCCGATCGCACTGCGGGTGGGGGGGCGTGGAAGCGGTGCAATTGAATTCAATGCACTGCCACGCCCCCTCCCACCCCAGAATGCGGGTGGCAGTTTTTTAGCGATCGCGGTGTGTTCCACCAGCTACCGCTCTGGAACGCACATGCTTTCGGTGTGAACAAGCCCTTGGGAGACAGAGCAGCTGCATTCAGTAGTTCTTAGCAATCTACAGTTCTTCTCTCTCTAAGTCAGAGGCACTGCCATGATGGCCCTCATATAAACTGCTGTACTGGTCCAAGTCCCTTTTCTGGAAGGAGGACATGGGAGTGATACCGGTTGCGTTGCTGTATTTGGGGAAGACCACTTTTGTGATTCAGCTATTCATACACTGCACCTAATGACCTAATGGCTATAGGCCTGCCAGCATATGTGTGTTCTATATGTCTCTTATCTCTATACATGACTCATTTGGGGCCCATGTGTTCCTTCCAGTGCCCTGGGCTCTATTTACTATAAAGGTACTTTTGGGTCAGTGCCCAAGGCAGCTGGCTAAAAGGGAGCAGAACCAACCCTTAGAGTAGAACTGAAGCCAAAAGTTTTGGATAAAGTAAGGGACGGTTAAAACCCCTGCTAGCTTTTTTTTTTTTTCCTCTTTGCGTCCCATTGGGGGAGATTAACCTTCACTTCCTGTACGATAAGCACAACAGGAAGTGAGTGGAATCACCTCAAAAGTGATGGAATTACCCGGTGTTCACCAGACCTAGATTTCCCATCCATTCCTGTTCTGGGGACAACCCAAAATTAGGCTGATATGGTCACCAGGACAAATAGAGAGGGTGAATATCCTTTTCAAAAAAATAGCCACACCCACTTATGTCACATGCCCCTACTTGAACCCCTTGAATGCCTCTCTCTGCTTCGCCGCGTACATTTTGGTCATGCAGTTGATGTGTCCTGAGATAGTGGAGTTTGGAACAAAACATGGGTAGGAAATTCAGAGAAAAGGTCATAAAACACTCGTAAAGCAGCCTGTAAAATATAACACGACACTAAAAGTAAAACATATTTACTGGCTCACTTGTCACCCCCCATGTGATTAACAACATGCTGCAGCAGGCCAAACCAGTTTGCTTTGACGAATATCTCATGGCTCAATGGGTGCAGTAACACCTTCACCAGTTCCCAGTAGGACACAGTCAGTCATTCTCATATCAAGACCACTGAGAGCCAGATCTCTGCCCAACACAGAGTTAGGGGCACCGGCAGAGGGGGAAGGAGAAAACAGTGATGTCCACCGCAGTTCAGAACATGCCATAAAGGGACGCAATATTCTGCTCCTACCAGCCATGAACAGTTTTATTCGAGCTGCGGTTGACTTCCTACGTTCGACCTGATTCAGGGGGGTTTGCAGTCCCATAGACTCATACGCAAAACCCGTCTGACGCAAACAAAAAACTCATGGAAAGTATTTTTTTCCCCCTTTTTTTTTAGTTTAAGTAAATGATAACTATTTGGTATCAATATTTTAGATTTTCTTAGGCGGCCAGCAGGTGGAGCTGTCGGCTACTTCCAACGTGTTTTGCTGCTTCTCCTTCCCTCCTGTTGAAAAAGAGTGCAGTGTTTACTGAGCTCAGTAGTTCAATCTGGAACTTACATGACCCGCTGCTGGAACGCACTGGAGCGAGCGATCACACTGTGGGCGGGGGGGCGTGGCAGTGGTGCCATTGACTTCACTCACGCCCCTAAACGCAGGAAGCCGTCCTGGATACGATAGTGTGTTGCAGAAAAAAAAATCAAAAATAACGCTGAAAAATCGCGGTAAAAACAGGGCAAAAATGCACTGTACTGCGCTGGCAGATCTGGTCCGAACATGGTGTGAACAAGCCCTAAAGCCAGCACTGACTTCAAGGCACATCACACTTAAATCTTTTAGGTGACAGGAGCCTGGAGACATGGTTAAGTCTTGCTGTAAATGATTGGAATATCTTTCCTCTATCTCGTACTGTGTGTCTAAACTGGACAATCCAGACTGTCCTATCCTTAGAGCACCTCTTCTACTGCATTCCTGACCACAGCCGTAAGTAGGTTCACACATTGAAATTCTAATGAAAGTTCATTTTATTGTGTTTAAAAAAAAAAAAAAGGACAGTCTTCAGCACGTAGATGAAAAGCCCAGCCCCGTTTTAAAGTGATTTCTGAAATCCTCCCTGGACATTCTTATTTCATGAATTGCAACCTTAAGAGGAGTTGACCACCATGGACTCCATCCTCAGCCTTGGTCTGCTTCTAGCTTTGGTGACTCCAGGTGGGTTCCTCGGTTCTTCTACATGGATGTCTCCCTCTTTAACTATCTGTAGGAGGAACTATTAATTCTGTATTTATTCTAGGTGGAACTATGTATTCTTTATTTATTCTAGGATAAACTATGTATTCTTTATTTATTCTGGGAGGAACTATGTATTCTTTATTTATTCTAGGAGGAACTATGTATTCTTTATTTATTCTAGGAGGAACTATGTATTCTTTATTTCTTCTAGGAGGGACTATATATTCTTTATTTATTCTAGCTGGAACTATATATTCTTTATTTATTCTAGGAGGGACTATATATTCTTTATTTATTCTAGGAGGGACTATAGATTCTTTATTTATTCTAGCTGGAACTATATATTCTTTATTTCTTCTAGGAGGGACTATAGATTCTTTATTTATTCTAGCTGGAACTATATATTCTTTAAGTATATTTTATTTATTTAAAACAAAAGTTTAAAAACTAAGACACCTTGTGACATCTTGGATATGAAAAAAACACTGTGGGACTACGGTAATTTTATGTATATGTACTGTATATACTGTATGTGTATATATCTATCTACAGGTGAAACTCGAATAATTAGAATATCGTGCAAAAGTAATTGCAGTAAGTGCTACAAAAGGGGCCCAAACCAAGTACTGAGTACATATGCATGCTTGTACTTTTCAGAGGTCCGAACTTTTACATAATTTTCGCATTCCCCAGATATTTAGCCTAGAGTGGAGTCTTCTGATTAAAAGTGTTTTTATGTAACATAGCAGAATGGTAAAAGCCTAAAGTCAATGTTTGCATTTTACTTTAGGGGAGGTGTATTCCCCTTCCAATGCTGCATTAAAAAAAAAAACAATGGTTTGTGTTTGGCAAGGTTACAGATTAGCACAATTGCTACAATTTGAGGGGTTTGCAGTCTTTAAAATTGAGAATGACATTGTGTTTGCTTACCAAGCATTCTATGTATTTATTTAAGTATTTTCTATTTATTTATTTTTATTTACACTCACGCAGTCAATAAAAATGTCATCTAGATCAGTGCTTCTTAAAGTGTGAGTTGCGACCCCATATGGGGTCCCACAAGTGAAGAGGGGGGTCGCGATCTGAACTTCCCTGGTGGGAACCAGCGAGTCCCAGTACTGTATGGGACTAATAGTCACAATCCCGGCACCATTTAAAAAGCCCCCTTGGACTCAAGTGGTTGAACATACCCAGTTATCTAAAAACGTCCTCAGTTTCTTGGGAAGCCCATTGAAAAACCTATTACAAAAATGTCTTGCCTAGGGGCTCGGGTTCTGTTGCTTTCTTAATATTGACCTTTTATAACAAATGTTTCTCCCTAAAGAAAAACAGATTGATTTATGATCAAAGCAAACTGGAACTGTTGCCTGCACCGCCAAAGGCCCAATACAAGGTAGTATTAATAGAGACTAACCTTTGACTTGTTGCTGTTGACTAGGGATGAG